AAAGGAAAAGTTTCGGCCAAGCGATATAAAATAGCGTACTCACCTGTTCCACCCAAACGTTCGTCGTCATGATCTGGTTCTTCAGGTTCTGAAAAAGAAAGCAGAAAGGGCGGGCTGAAGATCGTATTATTTCCAGAAGGCACTCTACAGTTTCGAGAGTTTCTAATTACCTGAGGGAGGGAGGGAGGGTAAGGGTTTTATCGAGTTTCGAAAGATACCGAAGCGATAGTCGGGAAAAGAGTAGACGAGTCTCTCGAACCAATCGAGCAACCCTACAAATCATCTTACCTGTGTGTACTAACTTCGATATCTCGTATATTCGTCGAAAGAGAGAGAAAGTTCTTCTCTCTCGAGTTCGAAATATAGATCCTACGATTTATACTTTCTAATGTGACAAAAGTCATCGATTTATCACATTTTATTTCGCCGATAATCGAATTTCACCCCCATCGTCTTCATCTCTTCGATCTTTAATCGAACTACCGCTACGATTAACACGATCACACTAGGAAGCATGTATTAACATAACTTGAAGTTATGGAAGGTGAGCAAACTCTATGTTGAACTTATTAGGTACCATCGTTCGACAAATTGCTCTACTCGAGTATCATCGAGTATCATAGAACGAAAATGAAAATCTTTTACTCGTTTCATTGGTTCGTCCAGTTCATCCATTCCAAGTTTATGGGTGGAGAAATTAATAACGAGACAAATAGGGAAGAGAATCCTATTGTAAGAATAATTTAACTACAATTAGCAGTCAGACAAGACTGCAACCTAATTATTAGAAAGGTAAGTATAAACGTTATCTTTCTCCCATTTTCTCGTAAAATTTTCCAGACAAGCGCAATTCAGTCCTCGCATTATTACGTCGAAATATTCAGGGAGATATTTCATCGGAGAGTGGCAAGATGAAAGGAGGGAGATATCCTCGGAGATCGACGCCTGATCCTTGGAAAGAGGAGCGTCGTTAAGGATGCGCCGAGCAAATCCTTTGATCTGGCAATTAGATTCCTGTTTTTCGACAAACGATTCCCTTTTCGTTCGATCCTTTTCCCAAGGATTTATCCGTGGCGAGGATTTTCCACCACGCAGCTTCCCTTCCCCTCCCTCCCTCCCTCCCTCGGTGTTTCTCGGAGGAAAAACTGCAGCGTGC